CAGCCACTATGGAGAACAGTATGGAGGGGCCTCAAAAAATTAAAACTGGAACTGCATTATGACTTAGCAATTCCACTTCTGGGCATATATATATTTAAAAAACTCAAAACACTAATCCGAAAGAATATATGCACCCCTATTTCACAGCAGCGCTATTTACAATAGGTAAGGCCTAGAAGCAGCCCAACTGCCCATCAGGAGGTGAGTGGATAAAAATGCTGTGGTACATGTACACAATTAGATATTACTCAGCTACAAAAAAGAATGAATCCCTCCATCTGCCACAGCATGGCTAGACCTAAAGGGTATTACACTAAGTGAAATAAGTCAGTCGGAAAAAGACAACTACCATATGATTTCACTTGTATGTAGAATCTAAAGAACAAAATAAATGAACAAATTTGAAACAGAGTCATAAATACAGAGAGCAGACTGATGGCTGCCAGAGGGGAGGGAGTTGAGGGCCTAGGTCAGTGATGGCGAACCTATGACATGCGTGTCAGAGGTGACACGCGAACTCAGTTTTTTGGTTGATTTTTCTTTGTAAAATGGCATTTAAATATATAAAATAAATATCAAAAATATAAGTCTTGCCCTAACCGGTTTGGCTCAGTGGATAGAGCGTCGGCCTGCGGACTGAAGGGTCCCAGGTTCGATTCCGGTCAAGGGCATATACCTTGGTTGTGGGCACATCCCTAGTAGGAGATGTGCAGGAGGCAGCTGGTCGATGTTTCTCTCTCATCGATGTTTCTGATTCTCTATCCCTCTCCCTTCCTCTCTGTAAAAAATCAATAAAAATATATTTTAAAAAAATATATAAGTCTTGCCCTAACCAGCTTGGCTCAGTGGATAGAGCATCGGCCTGCGGACTGAAAGGTCCCAGGTTCGATTCCGGCCAAGGGCATGTACCTTGGTTGCGGGCACATCCCCGGTAGGAGGTGTGCAGGAGGCAGCTGATTGATGTTCTTCTCTCATCGATGTTTCTAACTCTCTATCCCTCTCCCTTCCTCTCTGTAAAAAATCAATAAAATATATTTTAAAAATATATATGTATAAGTCTTTGTTTTACTATGGTTGCAAATATCAAAAAATTTCTATATGTGACACGGCACCAGAGTTAAGTTAGGATTTTTCAAAATGCTGACACACCGAGCTCAAAAGGCTCGCCATCACTGGACTAGGTGAAAAGATGAAGGGATTAAGAAGCACAAATGGGCCCAAGCCGGTGTGGCTCAGTGGTTGAGCGTCGACCCATGAACCAAGACGTCACCAGTCTGATCACCGGTTAGAGCACATACCCAGGTTGCAGGCTCGATCCCCAGTGGGGGGCATGCAGAAGGCAGCTGTTCGATGTTTCTCTCTCATTGTTTCTACCTCTCTATCCCTCTCCCTTTCTCTCTCTCTAAAAATAAAAATCTTTTTTTTAAAAAAGTGAATTTGCTTTTTAAAAAAAGTACAAATGTCCCTGGACAGTGTGACTCAGTGATTAGAGCATCAGCCTGCGCGCTGAAAGATCTCAAGGTGGATTCCTGGTCAAGGGCATGTATCAGGGTTGCAGGTTCAATCCCAGGCCCCCAGTCAGGGCACATACAGGAGGCAACTGGTCAATGTGTCTCTCTCACATCGATGTTTCTCTCTCTCGCTTGCTCATTCTCTCTCTCTTTCTCTCCATCTTTTCCCCCTTCCCTGCCACTCTCTCCAAAAATCAATGGAAAAAATATCCTCAGGTGAGGATTAATAAAAAAAAATTGTTCTAAAGAAGTACAAATTTTTTTAATATATATTTTTTATTGATTTCAGAGAGGAAGAGAGAGGGAGAGAGAGAGAGAAACATCAATGATGAGAGAGAATCATTGATCAGCTGCCTCCTGCACACCCCCTACTGGGGATTGAGCCTGCAACCTGGGCATGTGCCCTTGACTGGAATCAAACCCGGGATCCTTCAGTCCACAGGCCGATGCTCTATCCACTGAGCCAAACCAGCTAGGGCAAGAAGTACAAATTGATAGTTACAAAATAGTCATGGGGATATGAAGTATAATAATCCTATATAATAAAAGCTTAATATGCTAAGTGTCTGGTTGTCTGGTCAAAGCATAATATGCTAATAATATGCTAAGGCCACTCAACCACTCGCTGTGACATGCACTGACCACCAGGGGGCAGACAATCAACTGGTCAACCAGTCGCTATGATGCACACTGACCACCAGGGGGCAGACATTCTGACCAGTAAGTTAGCTTGCTACTGGGGTCTGGCGGATGGGGACTGAGCGAGATGGGCTGGACATGCCCTGGAGTCCTCCCGCTGGCCAACCTCCCCTGTTCCTCCCCGGCCTCAATTGTGCACCAGTGGGGTCCCTCGGCCTGGCCTGCACCCTCTTGGAATCCAGGACCCCTCGAGAGATGTCAAAGACCCAGTTTTGGCCTGATCCCACAGGCCAGGCCAAGGAACCCCACTGGTGCATAAATTCGTGCACTGGTCCTCTAGTATTGTAATAACTATATATAGTGTCAGGTGCATATTGAAAATATTGGAAGGAACACTTTGCAGAGTATATGATTGTCTAACCACTATAATGTGTACACATTCTGTGCTGTACACCTGAAATGAATATAAATACTAAAATAATATTGAATATATTGAAAATTTTTGTAAAAACAAACACACCTGCACATGCTTCCTCCATCCCCAGCCCTCAGGACACACCTGAACTCAGGAGGGATCAGAGAGGAGTGATCAAGAAGGTTCCCCACCATTTCTGCCACTGTGCCTGCAATTCTGCCATAAGCTTTATCCCTCTGGGTTGAAGCCTTAATAGGAACCAGTGTAGTAAGGCAATTCGGTACAGGGGCTCTGGACTCTGTTATACCTGAATCTTCAATCCTGGTCTGACCCCAAGCAAGCCACTTAACTTTTCTGGGGCTTGGTCTCCTTATTTTTTTAAAAGACAATTTTTAGAACAGTTTTAAGTTCACAGCAAAATCGAGAGGAAGGTACAGAGAATTCCCATATAGCCCTGCCTCCACACATGCACAGCCTCCCCTATTATCAACCCCCACCCCAGGGTGGAGCATTCATTACCTACCATCAATGAACCCACATGGACACACCTAAGGTTCGTAGTTTACGTCAGGGTTCATGGTTGGTGTTGTACATTCTATGGGTTTGGAAAAATGGGTAATGACATGTACCTACCATTATCATATCATGCAAAATACTTTCAGTGCCCTAAACATCCTCTGTGCTCTGCCTACTCGTCCCTCTCTCCCCCCACCACCTGGCAACTCCTGGTCCTTCTACTGTCTCCATTGTTTGCCTTTCCGTGTCATATAGTTAGTATTTGCCTTTTCAGGCTGCTTCTTTCACATAGTCAGGCATTCATGTTTACCCATGTCTTTTCATGGATTGATAGCTCACTTCTTCTTATCACTGAAAAATATTCCATTGTCTGTATGGATCAGAGTTTACTGCCTTATTTTTTTAAACTATTTTTGACTTAGAAATTATTTTATAGAGAAGAAGGGAGAGGGAGAGGCAGAAAGACAGACAGACATCAATGTGGGAGAGAAACATCTAACAGCCACCACCCATTCAGGCCCCAACCAGGGATGGAATCTGAAACGTGGGTATGTGCCCTGACCGGGAATCGAATACACCACTCTTTGGTGCGTGGGACAATGCTCCAACCGATTGGGCCACATAGGCCAGGGCTACTGCCTTATTCTTTTTTAATATACCTTTATTGATTTCAGAGAGGAAGGGAGAGGGAAAGAGAGAGACCTAGAAACACCAATGATGAGAAAGGATCATTGATTGGCTGCCTCCTGCACGCCCCCTACTGGCGATCACTCCTGGAACCCTGGGCGTGCGCCCTTGACCGGAATCGAACCAGGGACCCTTCGGTCCACAGGCCGCCGCTCTATCTATTGAGCCAAACCAGCGAGGGCGTGTCGCCTTATTCTTAAAAATAGAATTAACTACAGATACACTCACACACAGCCAAATGCACACAGTTATTCAACTCATTTGCAGAGACTGACAACTGCAAACGACCTAAACGCCGCTCAGTAGAGGCCTGGCCGAGTGACTCCCAGCTCACCACGCCCCGGGACACTACGCAGCCGAGCAAAAGCAAGACTCGCACCTCAGGTGCGCCCCACACATTGGTCTCCAGAACCAGGATTAGTCCAACAAGCAAAGTGCAGAACAGTGTGTGTGGAAGGCAGTTCCGCTGTTTATGCGAAACAAAAGGGAGCAATAGTGATTACAGTGCTCGTTCGTACGCAAAGACCACCGGCAGGCCCCCCCACGAGGCCTAGGCTGCCCCCAGGAAGGGACTTAGGGGAGGCCTGGGGAGGGGACTTTGCATTGCATGTATTCTTCATACTGTTTGATTTTGGCATGTGTATTATCTATATTCTTAAAGTAATAAAATCATTATTTTTAAAAAGATTTTTAAACCCGCAAAGGCCGGGGACAATAAGAGCCCCACCTCTCAGGGCTGCTGTGAGGACCTGGGGGGATGAAGCAGGGCCGGCCCACGGTGACCGCCGTCAGCGGGCGCTGTCACCGACGCTGAGGCCATCTCTGCATGGGGACATGACGGTGTGGCCCCTTGCTACTCAGTGTGGCCTGTGGACCTGCAGTGTCAGCATTGCCCGGGAGCTGGCTAGAAACCACCCCCCCACCCCCCGCCACTGAGTCAGAACCCGCATTTTAACCAGACCCCCAGGGACTCATGCACACAGTGGGGAAAGCCAAGTGACACCTGCTGGGGCAGGGGGGAACCCCAAAGGCCCATGGGGACTGGAAGGGCCCTGGCAGGAGGGCTGGGAGCCCCGATGGGCAGCTCTAACCCCAAATTTCCCACATCCTCGCTGGCTTGGGCCCTGCCAGGCCTGGGTTCCTGGACTGAGAACCGGTGGGCCCCTCCTGCTCACCCCTCCACTTGGGCCCCCCCTCGGGGTGCAGCCTGACAGTGCTGGGGCGCCTCTCACCTTCATGCCGGCCACGTCGATGCGGGTCCGCACCTGGAAGTGGGCGCCCACCTGGATGACCCTAGGCACGCAGTAGAGCAGCATGTTGTTGAACTGCAGGAGACACAGCACGGGCGTGTGCAGTGGGGGCGGGAGACGGCCAGGCGGGCTCCCTGAGGGGCCCCAGCGCCACGGTCCCTGCCCCTCTGGCCACGCTCTGGGCCAGCTCCCAGGATGTCACGCGTGGGGAGGAAGGGGTTCTCTGGCCCCGAATCCAACGGCTGCCCTGCCAGTGGGCATCCAGGGGCCACAGCAGAGCCAGAAACCTGGGAGGCCTTTCTCAGGGCTTAGGGGGGCAGGAGCTTTATGAACCCCGCCCACCAGGCAGGACCAGCTTCCCGGTCTCCGGTGCCAACCAGGCAGTTCCTCCTAGTAGCTAACCTAAACGCCCTGCTGTGCTGCCTAGAGCACAGATCACACCACGGGCTTCGGAGACAAAGGGTCTGGGTTCAGATGCCGACGCTGTGGCTCCCCGGGGCGTGTCAGGGACACCCTGCAGCTGGGAGCCCCCAGGCCCGGAGGCGGCACTTGTCCGGAGGCCGCTGGTGCCACAGCAGCGGACGGGTCAGCAGGCTCTTCCCTGCTCCTCCCGGAGGTACTGCCGAGAGCCTGGGCAGGACCCGCGGTGTGACACCCCGCCTCCCCTACCAGGAAAAGGTAGCGCTCCGTGGGGTCTCTGCGGCGGAAGGAGATCTTGAGCACGGGGCCCTCGCGGAGCAGGGCGTTGGACGGGTCCACGATGTCGTCCTCCAGGCCCAGGCGCTGGTACACTTCCCACAGGTCCTGCAGCCGCTCCTGGGGACGGTGTACCCTCAGTCACGCGCAGGGCCCACCTCCTTCTGGGACAGGGGGCGAGGGGGCGAGGGGGTGAGGGACCAGGGGATGCGTGGATGCAGAGACCTGGGTGGGCTGGGGAGGCTGAGAGCGGCAGGAAGGAGGAGGCAGGGCCCCAGGGGCCCCCCTGCCCCCTCCCCTGCGGGCGGGGCTGCTCACCATCTCCTTGATGGCTGCATTGGAGTGTTGCGCGGCTGAGAAGATCAAGTCGAGGGCTTCTGGGGGGCGGGACAGAACCAGAGTTATCCCCTGAAAATCCGGCTGGAGGCTGAGGCAGGGCCCTGAGCTGGCCATGGGGGCCACTCCCTCCTGGCTGGAGAGCTGGGAGCCACCGCAAGACGGGGCTCAGGCGGCCGGCGTCTGTCTCTCCCACTGCTCCCCCGACCCAGGGGGGCACTGGAAAGGCCTGGCTTCAAAGCCCCGCTCCGCCCCTTTCTGGCTGTGTGACATCGAGCAAGTCACTTAACCTCTCTGGACCTCAATGTCCTTGCCTGCAAAATATGGCTAGTGGGTCCTGGCCAGTGTGGCTAAGTGGTTAGAGCATCGGCACTCACACCGAAGGGCCGCGGGTTTGATTCTTGGTCAAGGGCACGTACCTGGGTTGCAGGTTCAATCCCCCGCCCCGGGTTGGGGCATGTGCGTGAGGCAACCAATCCATGTGTCTCTCTCACATTGACGTTTCTCTCTTTCTCCCCCTCCCTACCTCCCTTCCATTCTCTCTAAAAATCAATGGAAAAATATCCTCAGGTGAGTGTTAACAACAACAAAAAATAGCGAATGGTATAGTAATGTCTACCAAGTACCAATGGTTGATGGCTGATGCCATTATAACATTTTAGCAGGTGCTCAGTGACTATATGGGAGCAGCGCGGCCTCCCCATCCCTGGGTGCCCCGGGCATGTCCTCACTCTGGGCATCAGCCCGGTCCGGGGCCTGGGCTGGCAGCTTCTGGACGTACTCCTTGAGCAGCAGCTCGTAGCGTGGGATTCTCTGCACAGGTTCCAGCATGTGGTGCTGCAGGGTCAGGCTGCCCGAGGCCTCGCTGCTCTTGGGGAGGGATAAGGAGAGGAAGAGTGTGGGGTGAGAGCGGGAGGGGCGAGGGAATCGAGGGAAGGCTGAGCCGGGAGGTGCCCCAGATCGCTGGGGAAACGCAGCCACTGCCCCGCCCCCGCCAAGCTCACCTGAATTCGAGTGAGAACCTCCTGGAAGCGGGGAGACTTGTCAGTCCAGGTGGCCAGCAGCTCCGCGGCTCGCTCGAAGTTCTTGACATACTCGCTGTACATCTTCAGGAAGGGGGCCAGTTTCTGGATCACATCCCCGATGCGGGGGGTGGCTGACCTGCGGGAGGGGCGCCCAGTCTGGCCCGCGGCCTGAAGACCTCCTCTCCCTCCGGGCAGGTAGGTGAGGCCGGCCCCTGACCCGCCAAAGCAGCCTTCCCACTGCACTTCTGGGTGCAGTCATGGGCCGTGTCATCCCACACGTGTGTGAGGGGGGGCGTGTTCTCTCCCACGGACTGGGCTCCCCCAAAGGCCAGCACCGGCCAGGCCCAGGATGGGTGTTCAGTACCCACTGGGTACTTGTTCCTGTGACAGTAATGAGGGCCGCCTGCCAGGCACTGCACGCCTCCTCTCACTCAGTCTCGCAGCCCTGCTCGGAGGAGGAAACTGGGACCCAGGGGAAGAACTCGTCCAGGGTCGCCCGTGGAAGGGCCTGAAGGCCATGCAACCCAGGAACTATAAGAGCAGAGCAGCCCTAGCCGGTTTGGCTCACTGGATAGAGCGTCGGCCTGGGGACTGAAAGGTCCCAGGTTCGATTCCAGTCAAGGGCATGTACCTTGGTTGTGGGCACATCCCCAGGAGGGGGTGTGCAGGAGGCAGCTGGTCGATGCTTCTCTCTCATTGATGTTTCTAACTCTCTATCCCTCTCCCTTCCTCTCTGTAAAGAATCAATAAAATATATATATATATTTTTTAAAAAAGCAGAGCAGTCGGGAGCTGGCCCATCTGCGTGTGATTCCCAGCTGCGTCTCTTAGTCTAGCTGCCTCTTGTTCTAGCTGAGTTTCATGGGCAAGTCAACTAGCCTCTCTATAGCTCAGTTTTCCCATCTGGAAAAGTGAAAATGATGGCAGGTGACCTCGGAGCGTTGACTTTAAAAATACGTATAAAGTCAAAAGAATACAACAATGAACTACATACTCATCACTGGATTGAACAATCACGAACATCCTTCTTTGCTGAAGAATCTTAAAGGACATTCCAGACATTGTGGCATTTCTTTGGCAAAATACATAAAGCAAGTAATTTTACCACCAGATACCTGAGTGGTCACTTCTGAAAACAAAGAGGGTTTCTTGCATAACTACGATGCCCCCATCACACAGGGGGCTGATCTGAAGATTAAATGAGTGAACAGGCAGAAAGCCCCCGGCCGGGCATGGAGGAAGGTTAGTCCCGCCTCCTAAGTCACCCAGCCTAGTGAGGCCTGGTCCATCCCTTCCCAGGACACACACACCCAGGGCTCATTCATCCAAGCCCCTCACTGTGCAGTGGGGACAGTGAGCGCAGAGCAGGAGACCCTCCTGGCCACACAGCCAGGGCCCTGGGGGCGGCACCCCGACCAGGCCCCGGGGCTGTGGTCGGGGGACTTGGGGCTCCTGGTGGACCTCACCAGTCATCCAGCCGCCGCTGGAGCTCTGGGAGGAAGAACTGCGCGTGGAACTGGTAGATGGAGGAGATGTTGGAGAAGATGAGCCGGACCACGTCCTCGGGGAAGGCCTTGCTGCTACGGGCCTCCTCCAGCAGCTCCTGGAAGAACACCTGCAGCCGCCACAGGGTCAGGGGGCCCGCGCAGAGAGGGAGCCCCCGGCAGCCTGGGGGGACTCGCCAGGCCCCAGGTCAAGCTCCCGCTTACTGAGTGCTCTCACCTCCCTAATCCCCCGCATCCTCCCAACAACCCCAGGCGACACAGGCAGGGAAGACTGTATTCCGGCCACTTTACAGATGGGCAAACCCTGGCCTAGGGACTCGCGGACTTGGCCAAAGGCAGGCGGCTGATGAATGTCAGAAATGGGCCAGTCTGGGCTGTCGGGGTCTTAGACTTTGCCAGCCTAAAGGTGCTTCTACTGGGGTGCAGTGATTGGACCCCCTCGCCTTGGGCGCTTTAAGAAAGTGTGAAGGGATGATAGGTGAGGATGTTTGCCTTGGGGTGAGGATGCTGTGCGGGCCTGGAAGGACTGGCTGGTGGGTACTCGGCACAAGGGAGGCGCCAGGCACCAAGGGGGGAGTGGGGAGTGGCACTGATGGGCTGTCCTGGTTTCTGCCTGCTCCAGCCAGCAGGGTTAGAGGACTCGGGCCTCCTAGAATCAGGTCGAGGGGTCCTAACTCTCAGCTCTGGTGAGGTGGGTCGGGAGGGAGAGCAGGGGTGAGGTGAGGAGACCAGGTGCTGGGGCTCAGGTGGGGGTGTCCTAGCCACTGGCCTGGTCCAGCAGGTGCAGGCGGGCCACGTAGGCCTGCTCAGTCTCCAGCAGCTCCTGGACGATCCTCTTCTCAGGCTCCTGCAGGGGGTGTTGGAGGGAGAAGGAGAGGACAGCTTGGTCTCCTCTGATGGGCACCTGGGGCATGTCTTTAAAGATGCCCCTCCTGGCATTCATGCCCTCCCAGTACTCATGCCCTCAGTGCATCTGGAGGTCTGGTGGCCCTGGCGGAGAGACCCCGTGGGGAGGAGAAGCCCTGAAATTCTACGGACAGAGCCAGGGGCCACTATGCCACGTCCCAGCTGAGCCCAACCTCTGGCCATCGCTGGCCAGGCACCAGGCTGGAGGGTTGAGCTTTGGGGGCAGTCCAGCCCCAGCTACCATCTGACTGCAGCCACATGACAGACCCTGTCATGGACTAAGTTATGTCCCTCTCAAATCTATATGTTGAAGCCCTAACCTCTAACGTGACTGTTTAGAGCCTTTCAGGAGGTAGTTAAGGTGAATTGAGGCAGGGCTCTCATCCACTGGTGTTGAATAGGAAGAGGAAGCGACACAGGAAAGCAGTGCACAGAGAAGAGGCCACGCAAGGCCATGGCAAGAAGACAGCCACCTGCAAGCCAGGGAGAGAGGCCTCACCAGAAACCAGCCCTGCGGCACCTTGACCTTGGACTTCCAGCTCCAGAATTGTGGGAAAATACGTTTCTGTCCTTTCAGTCACCCAGGCTGTGGTATTGTGTTATGACAGCCGGGGTGACTAGGACAAACCCCAAGCGAGACCAATAGAAAAACCACCCAGTGGTACTCCAGGCAACCCACAGAATTGTAAGGAAGAATAAACCATTCGGCAACGGCGTGTTGGGGTGGTTTGTTATGTGGCGATTAATAACCAGACATACTATTGTGATCATCATCTCCATTTGCAAGTGAGGAAGCTAAGGTGCAGGGAGGTTAAGAGGACTGGCCCCCGGTCGCACAGTTAGCAAGCAGAAGAGGGGGCAGTGAGCCCGGGCAGTCTGGCTCCAGGGCCAAGCATCTTGCAGCCTCGCCTTTGAACTGCACAGACGAGGACCCTGAAACCCAGAGAAAGGAGGTGACCTTCCCGGGATCAGTCTAAGGACAGGAATTAGCACTGACCTCTGCTTCTAGATGGGATTGTTGCCTCCTTCAGTGGGTAAACTGAGGCCCCACTGGGAAGGGTACCTGGTTTACAGGTTGGAGACTGTTCCAAGCTGTGCGGCCTTGGACAGTTCCCTTAAGCTGTCTCAGCTTGGCTGACCTGGCCTGACAGCTGCCTGCACAGAGGGGTACGTGAAATCCCAGCATCGGGGTACACGCTGGACACTTAATCAAAAGCCTTTAACTGGGAGGGGTTCGCTTCCAGCTGGGGAAGTGCTGGCGCTGGCTGGGAGAGACTGTGTGGGGCGGGGGTCAGTGGAGGGGACCCCAGCTCCCCACTTCTACCCCAGCCCTCAGGCACCTGTGTCCCTGGCTCGGGGCAGCTGCTGAGCTGGCAAGATTTCCTCCAGGCCCCACTGGACAGCTTGTTCTTCAGGGAGCTCAGGTACCTCCTGCTGACCGTCCTGGGCTCGGACCCCAGGGCCTCCCCGACGCTGGGCTTCTCCCCCGGGCCCTCGGGTGGGGGAGACCTGCCCCTGGCATGGTGGGCCCCGGGCGCTGCTCCTGGCGCCCTGCGGAGAGAGCACACCTGAGGGTGCCTGTCTGTAGAGTGGGAGGAACAGCACCTGCGTGCTGGGCAGTTGGGGTGGTTGATGCAAATCACAGGGGTGCAGTGGCCCTCAGGAGGAGTCGCTAAGTAAACATCCACTTCCCTCCCAACTCTCTCGGAGGGAACTCGGGTCTTCAGAATGAGTCAGCGTGAACTGCGTACTTCCCTGTTTAACATGCAGCCAGGAGGCCTCTCCCCGCTGTGCAGGGAGATGCTAGGAGCTGACACAGCGATCCTGCAACCACGCGCGCAGACCTAAGTTAGAAGTCAGTGTGCTGGGGGGTGTCCAGATGGGGATGTGAGAGGACCCTTCAGACCAAATCTACACACAGACCTAGACAACCAACCCCACACATGAAACAACTTCCTCCGAAACACCCTGAGCATCAGCCGCTGACACCTGGACTCCTTCGCATTAGGGCCAGTGGTCGGCAAACTCCTTAGTCACCAGAGACAAATACCAACAGGACAACGATTGAAATTTCTTTGGAGAGCCAAATTTTTTAAACTTAAACTATATAGGTAGGTACATTGTTATTAACTTAATTAGGGTACTCCTGAGGCTTAGGAAGAGCCACACTCAAGGGGCCAAAGAGCCGCATGTGGCTGGCGAGCCGCAGTTTGCCGACCACTGCATTAGGTGAATGAGGGAAGGCCCACACTTAACAGGCAGAAGGGACGGGACATGATCTCGCCACAGAACCCACTCCCGGCGCCGCCCACAGTCTGGAGGAGTCAAACCAGAGCTGCTCCCCCAGGGGCGAAGATCTGAACCCCACATCCTGCCCTCCCAACGTTTAAGACCTGTACCTGGGAACAGGCTCCCCCCGCCCCGAGAAATGCAGCCAGGAACCCCGCCTGCACACAGAGGTTTGAGTGCCCCAACCCTCCGCTGCCAACCACCCTCCCTGTGCACCTCTCCTGTGCCTCCAGCGGGGGACGTGGAGAAGGCCGGTCTGAGCAGTTTCCCTGGGCTCCCAGCTTCCCTGGGTTCGGAGGGCAGCTTGGTCACCCTGCCTACCGGGTCTGCAGGCCATTAAACTCTTTAGATAACAGAGGCCACCTCCCTGTATATCCACGACGTGGGCGGGACCTACTGCCTTTGCTGTGGGAAGGCTTGCGATGACAGCACAGACAGGCATCC